AAATCATACTGCCATTGATTGCTGGTATAGGTTTGATTATTCACATCAGTCAGACAATCTTCCTGAGGCTCTTGCTGCATTCAGTCTCAATGCTTCAAACAATGAGTCATTTTATGCAGATTCTGGAGCTACTTCACATATGATAAAGGATGCAGGTAAGTTATCTTATATTGAATCATATAGAGGTAATGATATGATTTATGTTAGAGATGGCAATGGTTTATCTATGTCTCATGTTGGTACAAAAGGAGGACAATTAAAATAGATGTTCTTGTGGTGCCTGATTTGAAAAAGAACTTGTTATCAGTTGGGAAATTTACTAAAGATAATTCATGTTCCTTTGAATTCACTGCAACTGAATTTTTTGTTAAGGATCAAAATCAAAGGGTGACCGCGAAGGGGCATAAGCAAGGACAATGATATGCATTAGATAGAGTTTTTCAAGAGGCTTTGAGTGCAATAAAACAAGGCAATACATCGTCTACTATTTGGCATCAACGGCTCGGCCATCCTCATTCAAAGTTACTATCTTTGTTAAAGGAAAAGAAGGCAATTGATGTCTCTCGTTGGATAACTCAACCTTCAGTGTGTGTTAGTTGTCAATAGGGCAAAAGTTGTAAACCGCCATTTAAAAAATCAAATAAAACTTCTCAATTTCCTCTTGAAAAGATACATTGTGATCTTTGGGGTCCAACCCCATTACCCTCTACTCAGAAATTACGATTTTATGCACTCTTTGTGGATGACTATACGTGATTTACATGGTTATATCCTTTAAGAGAAAAAACAGAATTTTATGATCAGTTTCTCAAGTTCCAGAATCTGGTTGAAAATTAGTTTGATAGTCGAATAAAAATATTATAGTGCGATGGAGGGGGTGAATTCAGCTCTAATGTCTTTACTGAACACTTACGGAATTGTGGGATAGAATTGGATGCCTCTTGCCCGGGAACTCCTAAGCATAACGGAGTTGCAGAACGAAAGCATTGGCATGTAGTCAAAACAGGTTTAACAATGCTCTTTCACAGAAATTTACCTCTATCATTATGGGCTAAACTCTTTCTTACTGCTATATATTTAATAAATCGTTTGCCATCTGCAGTGTTACAAAATGAAATCCTTGCTCTAAACTGTACAAGCGGCAACCTGATTATAATAGCTTGCGGGTAATCGGGTGTCGTTGCTTTCCTTCACTGAGACATCAAAGCAAGTCCAAGTTTGATAAGAAAACCTATCCCTGTGTTTTCATTGGGTATAGTCCAATTTACAAAGGTTATCGTTGTTTGGAACCAACATCAAGAAGAGTTTACATTTCACGACATGTTGTATTTGATAAAGAAACCTTTCCTTATAAAATGAAGCAAACCGTTGCAAATTCTTCTTCTTTGGTGTTGTCAGAATTTCCTTCATTGGATGAATGGATTGGTGACAAATCAAAGTTACTAGACGATCATTTGCCAAAGACTGATACTATTATTTTAGGAAATGATGATGAGACAAAAACATTGAACAATACTGATATTGATGAAATGTCTAACCAAAATTTTACAGAATTAATTCCAGAAAATTCAGATGTCATCAATCTAGCAGGTGAACCTTCTCCAAGCCATGATGATATTTCTGAAACGTGTAACAAAAATTCTGCAGATTTGATTTCGCAAAATTCAGATGCTATCAATGCAACAGATGAACCTAATCCTAGCTATGATGTTACCGAAATGTCTGACCAAAACTCTACAAATTTAATTCCACGAAATTTGGAGGTAGTCAATATAATACCCCCACTACAGATGTTCGCGTTCGACGTCATCCAGCATATTTGAATTATGTGGCACTTGCAACTGACAAGGAGCTTATTCCATTGTCACCTAGGCCAAAGACCCTTCGATCGGCTCTCAAAGATTCACGATGGATTGTTGCAATGCAAGAAGAGTTGCAAGCACTTCAAAATAAGGATACGTCACAGCTTGTACCTCGACCAAAGAATGTTAACATTGTGGGTTCAAAGTGGGTCTATTGCCTTAAAACTAAAGAAGATGGATCCATTGATCGATTCGAAGCACGTTTGGTAGTTAAGGGGTTTACTCAAGTATGTGGTGTGGATTATGATGAAACCTTTAGTCCAGCGGTCAAACCGACTACTATCCAACTTGTTATAGCACTCTCTCTCTCTCTCTCTCTCTCTCTCTCTCTCTCTCTCTCTTGGCTAGACTATGAGACAACTTGATGTTAAAAAAGCATTTTTGCATGGAAATCTAAAGGAAACTGTCTACATGGAACAGCCACCTGGTTTCATTCAGATCTGCCAAATCATGTTTGTTTATTGAAGAAGTCATTGTATGGATCAAAACAAGCACCCCGTGCTTGGTTTGATCAACTCTCCCAATTTTTGCTTCACCTTGGTTTCTACTGCAGCAAAGCAGACGCTTCTCTGTTCATTTACCACACTAATGTTATTACTGCAGTACTACTAGTGTATGTGGATGATGTTCTCCTTGCAGGCAACAATGAAAATTCTCTCTCTCATTTAATCACGCAGCTTGGTCACAAATTTGCAATAAAATACCTTGGTAATTTGTCACTTTCTTGGTGTTGAACTTAAATTCTTCAATGGAGGTGTTTTTCTTTCACAATGTAAATATATACAAGATCTTCTTCGAAGAACTAAGATGTTGGAAAGTACTTCAAATGCCACTCCTATGACCCTTAAAGAGAAGCCTACATCTGTTGATGGTGATCAAGTGGACCCTTTTTTGTTTTTCGAAGTATTGTTGGGGCTTTGTAATACCTTACATTCACAAGTCCTGATATAATTTATGCAGTTAATCGGGTAAGACAAAATTTTAGCAATCCTACTCTCGTACATTTGAAGGCCGCCAAAAGAATTTTGCGATATCTCAAGTGTACTTAGAATTTGGGTTTGAGATATCTTTGTCAAAGTCCCATATCACTATATGGCTTTAGCGATGCCGACTAGGCTAGCTATCCTACAATACGATGAAGCACCACTGGTTATTGTGTTTATCTTAGAGCTAATTGCATTTCATTGAGCTCTAACAAACAATCGACTATTTCTCAATCAAGCTTTGAAGCTGAATATCGTTCCATGGCTTCCACAACAGCTGAAATTACATGGTTAACGTTTTTGCTACGAGATTTGGGTGTGTCACTCTCACGGCCTCCTCAATTGTTCTGTGTAAATATAAGCACATTACATATGTCAATCAATCCAATATTTCATGCCTGGTCAAAACACATTGAACTCGACTACCACTTTGTTCGTGAAAAAGTTGCTATGGGAACACTTGTAACTCGGTACATTCCAACTTCCTCTCAACAATCAAACATCTCTACAAAATCATTACCTAAAGATGCCTTTACTGTATTTCGAAGCAAGTTGGGTGTTCATGACCATTCTCACTCCAGCTTGAGGGAGCGTGTCAAAGGAAATTATCACAATAATCTTGGTAATGATGCAGTCAATACTGTTGAAGGAAATGATCCCATTGATGGTGGCAATGAAGCAATCAATCGCTAAAATTAAGCAAATCAATATTGCTGATATATTACTGGAGAAATCTGCATAGATAGCAAACAAATTTGATTTAGCCTTTTATAGCTCCTAGAATCATGGATTTCCATATAAGATTTGTCCTGTATTTTTTTGTATACAAGTAGTTGAAGATCAATGAATTAAGATATATATGAAAATAAGACACAAGACACTTTCAATGAGAATTTTGAACACACACTTTTCATTGATCCTGCTGGTTAATTTATACAGACATTTAATTCTACCTAAGAAAATGTATAGCAATTACAAATCACTAAATTTACTCTCATTACAAAGAATAAATCTCATGATTCTGGGCTAAACTGATGCATAGATGGAGTGATTCTGGCCAAACTAATTGCATAGATGAAGTTGCTGACTTTATGATTTTTGAATTCCTTGATTTGTGTCATCTTCCCTTATAAGATAGAGCTTCCAATTCTAATTATTCTACAAATTGTTCAATTACAACACGATAGTAACCAAAAAACTAAAGACACTAGATGAGATTATGAAGATTATGATGAAAAAGATGGGAGAAATTATTGACGACTGGTATATGCACAACGTTGAAATGGGTATCAAGAATAGGGAAGGCAACGAATTCGACATAAATGGTGGTATCAAAATTCTAAAAGGCATAAATGCATGGCGATTCATGAACATCAAGCTATGAGCTAGGTGAAGCATAAACGTAAAAAAAAATATAAAAAGATGTTTTTTTATTTTAATTTTTAATCAACTAAAAAATCATTTAATAGTTAAAATTAATGCCTATTAAATATCTAAAGCGAATTTATAAGAATTTTATCCATTTTTTCAAAATTTCCAACAAAAAGATAAACTTCCAATATAAATACTAAATGGTAAATAAATAAAAAAAATTGGGAGTTTCTTTGCTCAAGGTCTCAAGCGAATGTTTTAAATCTCGTGTAGAAGAAGTGAAGAAATCAGCTTCTAATTTTAACTTAAAAGATTATAAATAAAAATTTAAAAAAGAAAAAGAAAAAAAATAATAATGCGTGCCTAGACTCGCATTAGCAATCAACAATTGACATTGACTACTAAATAAGGCGCTAAACCACCTAACTTGACATTTCCACAGCGCATCGTGTCTATACGACACCTTTCAAAACATTGAGTGGGATATGAGATATTTTTATTTTTATTTTTTTAATTCTACAATTTTAAGACAGTACCTAATGAATAACAAAAAAGTCGAAAAGTAAAATTGATATTTTATAAACAATTAAGGTACATGGCATAATTTCCACAAAGAGTCAATGTTATTCAACACAAATAATGCTGAAACACCAGTTTATATGTGACATATGAGTGACATTAAATAATAAGTCTAATGAAATGCATTATTATGAGATTCACTTATGTTGCCACCTTGACTAGTGCACTAGTGATGATGAAAAGCATTATTCTAAAAAAATAAAAATAAAAAAGAACAAATATGTATGCAATTGATAGGGACTAATTTACTACAACCCTAAAATTTCAGGGATGGCATTGTTTAAAAAACTAGTTTGGAGACAAATGTGCTACGGACCGAAAGCACAATTATCCATATCAATTAAAAACAAGCACATCATGAGACTTCATACATTGCCTTGTCCAACACACATATATCAACCACCATGTTGGTTGTTTTACTGTAATATCACGATTTCATAATAACGCATTGACCAAGTCTTGCTACTACCAAAGGAATTCTATGCTAAAACTACATGATAAAGAGCACAATGCTACGCTACAAATTCATCACGGCTGATTCTCGCCCGAGTCGTGTTTTGAAGATTCCTTGATCTCGTCCCCAGCATCATCCTGCAATCCAAAGGAATGAATATTTACAAGTGCCATAGCAAGTTCATGTAAGGCCTTATCCTTGATGATGTAAACCTGAATTTAGGGCCTGTTTGGGATTTCTTCCACTTTTACTTCTACTCTTTATAGAAGAGCATCCTAAAGAAACCACCTTGGCTAGTTTCCTCTAAAAGATCTTCTATTCCGATGAAGCACTTCTAGAGAATTATCCAAACAAGGACAAAAGTAGCTTATTCTCGAAAGCAACTTTTAGCTTTTTAAAATAAGTGCCAAACAGACCCAGTTCATCACTTCATGTTCGGGAAGGATTAAAAACATGTGAACAAATGAACCCTTCTAGAGAGATGAACAGACAAAACAATTCTGCCAAAAGAGCCGTGGACTTTCTATAGGAATTTTATTTGCCCAACGCCATGTCTATAACCTAAACGTTTAGCTCTAGATGAGATGCAATAAACCCATCACAGTAAATTCTCTAGCTTAACCCTAAACTGATAATCGGAGCATCACACTAAAATTGAAAATGAAGCATGAAAACCAGGGAGTTTCAGTATGGAGAGGAGAGATACCGCTGCATCAGAAGTCCAAAGAGTCAGATTGTCTCGGAGAAGTTGCATGATCAATGTACTGTCCTTGTATGATTCCTCGCCCAGCGTATCTAGCTCGGATATGGCTTCATCAAAAGCCTGAAAAAAGAGCACAAGCATTACATATACGCAGTTAAACAGGCTGGTAATACATACGAGTACTGCAGGACGAAATTGGCAGAAACGAAGAATGGATAACCATATCGCTAAAATAATAAGACGTAAGAGGAGGGGGGGGGGGGGGGGGGAATAAGACGGGAAAACACCTATCAACACGAACAGACATATAAGTCACATTATTTTCATACTAAGTGTTATTAGAGTTGTTAGAATGAATGGCTTTAGACTCTCCAAATGGTCTCTCTTGATCTCTAGGTTTTCACACCCTCAGCAATTAACACATGTTTTGATTATCAAATACCGCCTCTTGGCAGTCAGAATCTCCGATTTTGACTCCATGCATACTCGTATATCATAACAAAGCTCATTCATGATGCTTCCTGAATTAACTGCTTTTCCCATACTCCCTCTTCAAAAGTTTCACTTTCTTTCCTGCTTCACCTTGATAACAAGCAACTGCTGTTGCTTAGTTATAAGCCCTTTTGACTCTTTTTAAGTCCTCAAATTCCAGATAGCCTATAATGGGGCTAAATTTAAGCAAGAGGATTTAGCAACGTCATGAATTTATGATGAAGCTTACTTGAATTTAGTGCTTAGTACATTAGTCAATGTTCAGAATATAAAGCATAAAATCCTGGACTAAGAGTAGAAGTGTCGATCAGCCTGTTCATTAGCTAAATCAACTTTCAATAAACAATTTTACAATGATCATATGATAAGTTAACTTCCTCAAACTGCCAGGAACAAGATCTAATCATATCATTTCGGGTTTCCCTCCAGTTAACATAGTCAGAGATAATATTTTGAATACACGTTATAGGAGTGGGCACACACACCATAAAAATTAAAAAATTTAAAAATTATCGAACCATTTTGGAAATAACCTACTGCTGAATAAAGTATTAAAAAATTGTGTTTCTCATAAACCAAGTTAGAAATACACATCAACTAAAAATAATAGTTTTTATTTGTCACTTTATTGAATTTCTTTTTGGCACACTTTTAACGGTTTTGTTATGAATTTTTTGAATATTATTTATAATTTATTATGAACGTATTTAGTATCTTAATAATTTTTTGATATTGTTTTAGTTTACGATGAGGCTTAAGCTTCGCCTCGAGTTGGAAAAATGTCGCAGTACTTTACTATGTCTTTTTAAACATTGCTCGAGACATGTGTTCATCACTCTTGCTCTTTCTTTGTTTTTTATTTTGTTTTACCTACCTCAGCTTGCTCAGCTGGTTTGTTTCATAGCCCTGAAATTTATAAGGGTTTTAGCTTATTTTAAATGCAAATTAAGCAAAAGCAAACACAAAACAACTGGAGATTGGTAAAAGGCCCTGATCACACTAGCCCAAACTCCTAAACTAAAGTGGATCCCTTTCAAAACGACATTGCAACTTTTAGGCAGCACACGACATGTAATAGTAAGTTCACTCTTCTTCTCTTTCTTTAAAATTTTTCAAAATTTTTATGCGTTTGTTTTCTTTCTTGGTTTCTCTTTTCTACTACAGCCAAAAAGAAAGTTGTTTCAAATAGACTTTTTCTTGTACAGTGAGTTCTAATTGTTAAGTGATTAGTGATTACTATGTTAATTAATCATGAGGAAATTGGACAAATCTCCACTTCTACTTCGTCAATCCATTTTATGTTTCTCTTTCAATTTACGCTTCTAAGTTCGATGAAGTATTATGTTTAACTTCAGATGATTTACAGTTTATTTTGAGTATATTTTAATACAGTATAGTTATTTGATTACATAATTCGCTCAAAATGGGCCTTAAGCTTCACAGAACCTAGAGGCATCTTTCAATTCAAGAAGGCAAAATACCATAGCAATCAATTTAGGCCATTCTGAACATTGGAAAGTGTTAAAAATTAATGCCTCGTAATCAGTAATGAAATGGCAGATATGAATCAGAGATAAATTGTAATTCATTGAAGTCAAAAGGATACAAGTTTGGCTAATAAACAGCAATATGTGAACATTCTTGAACTACCTGCTTGGCAAGGTTGCAAGCTCGATCAGGTGAGCTGAGGATTTCGTAATAGAAAACAGAGAAGTTAAGTGCAAGTCCAAGCCTGATCGGGTGTGTGGGAGCCAATTCAGCTAATGCAATATCCTGCACAATACAAGGTCATAAAGAGTATAAAACTCATCATGAATAAATCTCTGAGAAATTAAACCACCAACTCAAATTGACAACTTACATGAGCAGACTTGTAAGATGACAAAGTACTCTCGGCAGCTTCAGTCCTCTCAGCTCCAGTCTTAAACTCAGCCAAATACCGATGGTAATCACCCTTCATCTTCAAGTAAAACACCTTGGACTCTGCAGAGGAGGCTGAGGGAATGAGATGGGAATCTAGGAGGCTCAAAATCCCATTACTGATCTTGCTTAATTCATCCTCAATCTTAGCCCTGTATTCCTTAATAACTTTGACATGATCCTCATTCCCACGGCTCTCTTCTTTCTGCTCAATGGATGAGATGATTCTCCACGAAGCCCTCCTAGCACCAATGACATTCTTGTAGGCCACAGACAGGTACAGTTTATTTTGAGTATATTTTAATACAGTATAGTTATTTGATTACATAATTCGCTCAAAATGGGCCTTAAGCTTCACAGAACCTAGAGGCATCTTTCAATTCAAGAAGGCAAAATACCATAGCAATCAATTTAGGCCATTCTGAACATTGGAAAGTGTTAAAAATTAATGCCTCGTAATCAGTAATGAAATGGCAGATATGAATCAGAGATAAATTGTAATTCATTGAAGTCAAAAGGATACAAGTTTGGCTAATAAACAGCAATATGTGAACATTCTTGAACTACCTGCTTGGCAAGGTTGCAAGCTCGATCAGGTGAGCTGAGGATTTCGTAATAGAAAACAGAGAAGTTAAGTGCAAGTCCAAGCCTGATCGGGTGTGTGGGAGCCAATTCAGCTAATGCAATATCCTGCACAATACAAGGTCATAAAGAGTATAAAACTCATCATGAATAAATCTCTGAGAAATTAAACCACCAACTCAAATTGACAACTTACATGAGCAGACTTGTAAGATGACAAAGTACTCTCGGCAGCTTCAGTCCTCTCAGCTCCAGTCTTAAACTCAGCCAAATACCGATGGTAATCACCCTTCATCTTCAAGTAAAACACCTTGGACTCTGCAGAGGAGGCTGAGGGAATGAGATGGGAATCTAGGAGGCTCAAAATCCCATTACTGATCTTGCTTAATTCATCCTCAATCTTAGCCCTGTATTCCTTAATAACTTTGACATGATCCTCATTCCCACGGCTCTCTTCTTTCTGCTCAATGGATGAGATGATTCTCCACGAAGCCCTCCTAGCACCAATGACATTCTTGTAGGCCACAGACAGGAGATTTCGTTCCTCCAGAGTCAACTCCTCAGTCTCAGCACTCTTTGCAACCTTCTCCATAAATTCAACCATCTCCTCATACCGCTCAGCCTGTTCAGCTAGCTTGGCCATGTACACATTTTCCTCCCGCGACATGTTCTTTATAAGCTAAATATGTTAAATTAGCACAGATTTAAAATAACCCAACATCACAAGCAATATATAAATGTATATGTGCTTATTCGATGAGATGCATATTGATTTCATAGTCAAAAACTGAATCAACTATGAAACACACAGACTAAAACCAATAGCTTAATATTCAACTAACCAAAAAATGTCAAGCTTCCAGTCAAAAGGACTATATCTCGATTAATGTTCTCCAGCGCTTACATAAAATAAAGTAAAAACAGATATCTGGTGCTCGGAAGCAATGGATGTCAAGTGTATAGCTCAAACATGGATCGGAGGGGAAAAAAATATGCATCTTGCTTCGGCAAAGAAACAGTTCTGTTATTCGCATTTTCACTTTAAAGAAATAAAGCGCAGTTTTTACTTGAACAGAATAACTGCAGCATAGTGTGGACAAGTGACATTCCAACTTGGTTACAACTGATTAAAATCTGTTTAAAAGGAAGGCTTGAAGCAGTTTGGTTGCCTAATTTTTTCTTCAGATACACAAAAACGATAATCTACTCGTCTATTCTTCAGGTGTGTAAGTATTGAGAGCGAAATTGAGGGAAAATGGTGTTAGTTTTGAAGCTGTGTACTTCGGGCTTTCAAATCTTTCTTCCATCTTGAGATTTTTTCTACAATTTCCTTCTAGAGCTAACCATGAAGATACCGAATCAAATCCCACTACAGCGCTGAACCGTGTTAAAACATTTGTACTGGGCTTGATTATTTTATTTTAATTTCTAGGTGAAATTTCTCAGTGAGTTATCAACAACAACGAAAAGAAATATTTCCAGTATGACCAGTTAAAATATCTCGCTTAAATTAGAAATTATCCTACCAGTTTCAAAGGAATTTTATCCCTTTTACATTCCATCATTCCCTTTCTACAGTATAATTGCAGTTAAATAAATTACCAGATTTACACTCTTTATTTTCTAGTTCTTTACTTCATCGACGCAAAACTTGAACAGAAAGAATACTCGAATCAGGAAAACAGATTAATGAATTTCAGATCCACAAAGAAAGCTAAAACTCAAAGATCTAACAGTAACCCTAACCCTATCTATAATACTAATATGGCAAACTAGAAAAATTAAACTGAAGAGTAAAACTAAAATGTACCAGTTGACTCTTGTTGATACAGAAATGCGCTACTTTCCTAATGCGTTTTGCGGCCGGTGGAGGGTTTAAATATTTAGCGTCAGAGAAGATGACGGTATAGCCAATTGGGAGACGACAGGTGGCGGATCGCGGCTGAGTTTTCCCTGGTACACATATGCAGTGAACGTGATCATTGACCAGTCAAAGCCCAACTAGGCGTGGCAGGCTTACAAAATGGTTACGTAACTATGGGCAGGGTCTGCGTGTTATATAGTCCACCTCTTTGGTCCATATATATATATAAATTATATTATTTGAACAAGATAAATTTTAAATGAAACGAGACAAGACCTTGACTTACAGACTGTCCTCCACTCAAATTATGCCCCTTTGTTTACCAATCATTCTATCACATTATTTTTTTTTGTTAGTATTCATATTAAAACACATTCTTCATTAAAATAATATTACACAAATCAAAAAAATTTCCTTCTTTTTAACAACATTTCACCATCAATCACTATTCCATACATCACTTTTTGAAATTAAAGAAGCGCAAAAATCCATTTAAACAATTCTTTCTTTTTTCTCAAACCCATTATCACAAAGACCATGCTACACAAATATAATAGTTGACAAGCGAGATGACCTAACACTCACACTTCAGGGATCAGACATTATTTTATTCACGCGAGGTCCACGCTCCATGTAAAGGACGGTCACCCAATCGATCACCAAAATTCGGACACTTCGACATTTTCCTCATCACAATGAAGTATTTTGCAAATAAACTAAAAAACTTACCCACGCTTTTTAACCACATCTCCAAAAATCACCATTCAAAACTCATTCCCCCTAAGAAAAAACTCACTTTAATAATTGTCGAGGTACACCTCAAACCAAAAACTAATAAAGTTGCGACAGCAGAGGCAATCTCCGCATTAGCATGATCCTATAGTCCCGCTTCCAAACTAGTACGATAATAAAATTCCGTTCCCAAACAAAGTCGATCACAGAATCTTGCTTCCACATTAGTACATTATCCTAATTCAACTAGGAATCCACGGCATAATAGATCTTTCTTACCATTCTTCAGATATAACTCGGAAAAGACCGGACATCCTAGTAGAAAAAAGGGTTAAAAAGTACAGTAACTCGGAGAGAAACAGACCTCTCAAACTGAAACCAAAATAAAAAAGAAATACGTACACTCGTGTAAAAAGCTACAGTGATTGATAAATATTTAAGTGCAGTTCTGTGGACAAAATTCAAATATCTTTACACTGAAGCTTGAGCAAAAAATTTAACACGGCCCTCCAACCAATCAACAGAATTACCATCTGTTGAAAATCGCAGATCAGGAAGGAAAACATTCAACAAGCACAAGTACAAAAGAGAGTTTATGATTTAATTTGGCTTCCGCATATTGCGCCCAGCACGGATAACTTCATCCACCAATAGCAGCTGCGAAGCGATTACAGGGCTGCAAATGAAAGAAAGGCTTCTTTAGGGTAGACATAAAGAAAGAGAAGTGTCGACTATTAAAACATAACATCTCTCCAGCACAGATAACAATTGATACCCCCCCCCCCCCCCCCCCCCCCCCCGCGGGGGGCG